GGCATGGGGGGAGCGAAACCCGCCCTCCGCCTTTGGGTGAGCTTCTCTGGGTCGATGTTGAACCTGCACGTGGGGCACGTCGTCTGGCGTGGGCGGGAGAACCATGGGATGAGGCAGTCGGCGTGAAATATGTGTGCGCAGGGGAGAGAGACGATCTTGGGTTGGGTTGTGTCGGAGGTGGAAGTGAGGTGGGGGTCAGCGGTAGTGGTGGTGGTGTTGGTCGGGTCCACGAGGGGTGGATCGTCAGCGTCGCCGTCGTAGTGGTCGCGTGTCTCTGACTCATCCTCCTGAGGCTCAGCAGTGGCCTCCACCTCCGCCCCAAACCCTCCTTCCCCATCCAACAGCCGATCCCAACAAATCGCACACTGACAATCCCCCGCACCCGTCGTACTGTCCCCCTCCTCCCCATCTCCAATATTCTTTTCGCTCAATGCCTCCAACCTGCGGATGAGGCCCACCGGCACCTCCTCGAGCCCGACCACGAGCTGCTTCGCACGCTCGGGGTCCTCACTCTCACTGCGCTCGGATAGGGACGTAAGGAGGTCGAGGAAGTTGGGAAGGAAGCCACCTTGACCACCGCCGTCAAAAGGGCCACCAGCTGGGAGCGGCCGAATGACGCGCTGCCCATTAATGTCGATTGTGATTGCGAAGCCGAAGGGGCGTGGTGCGGGCTGCGGAGGAGGTGGTTGTGGGGGAGCTGTGGCTTCCACCTGGTCTGGAGTAGCAGTAGTAGATTGACGAGGATTCGAGATGCGCTGAGACGGGTGCCTTCGATCGCGCTCCTCGTCCTCATCCTCGTCTACACGGGCACGCCGGTTCCCATTCGCAGTGCTAGGCTGGACAGGCTCGAACGGGGGCATGCTCGACGCAGAGTCATCCGTCCACGCACTGTCGTCGTCACCGTCATTTACCGACACCTCAGGTATCGAGTCCGCTTCCCTCATGTCCACGTCTTGCTGCTGTTGCTGGGTGGGATGCCCGCCGTCGTTGTCGTCGTTTTCGCTCACGTTGAAAAGAGAATCCATAGAGCCTGCTCGTCGTGGTCCAATAACAAGACCCTTGCCTAATCTCCCAATCCGTGCACTCTGCCCTTGTTGCCGTATATTTGTCAATGACTAAACTCCTCTCCATCACTACACCACCGAATTACCCCCAATCCCCTGGCGTCGTTGTTCGCCTTTTTTCAGACGCGTGGGTCGTGCGGGATCCAACATCAAACCGGCTGATTTTCCTTTTGCGTTCAATTGGACCCTGGAAATCTCACCACTTGTCGTTTCTCAGCGTGTGAGCAGCGCAAAGTTAGCTCAATATCAACATATGGCTTTCGCCATGGCTGAAACTGATTCTGTCGCTTGGTGCATCCATCTATTGTTCTTATTCTATTATTTGGTAGACAGAATTGATAGATTCGAGGATTATCAACACTGCTTATCCTCCAGAACATCATGCACAGGATAAAGATCCAAGAGAACCTCCACGAGATTCCCATCCATGCGATTACTTCGATCTAATTCGAGGTACCAGTACCGGAGGGTAAGCACCGAGTAAGGATCAGCCTTGTACACACGCTTCACAGGATAATTGCCATGATGCGATTGGCTGTGGATGAGGCCATCGATTGCTACCATGATCTGACAGGAAAAGTCTTCTCGGAAGTAAAGACAGGAGGCAACGGAAAGTACAAGGCCAGTTTGCCCCGTAAACAGCGCCAATGCCCAGATACTAATACACCAAAGTTATACACCAAAGTTGTACGGCTATTGTACTATTAACAGAGGAGTCTTCCCTTGTTCCCTTCTCTCCGCTTCCTTCCTTCATTCACACCACCCCACTGACACCGCAAGAACAAGGACAAGACAAGAACGTCGCTATGACAGTACTTCTCTGATTCTGACGCTGAGAAGGAGCTTCGAAGGAAGACGCTGGCTGACACGGAGGTTATGCCGTAGGTTCAACTTGAACAAGAGCCGTCACAAGAATAGCAGCCACTGACTGTGGAATCAGTGCCTTCCCTCCGGTGGACGGACGGAACCCTTCTTTCTGTGAGTAACTTTTTTTCAACTTCTTCTCGGTCGTTGTTCTAAATTCTGCTTGGAATCCAGCCGGCCTGGATCTTCCAAGTTCGAACAAAAGTGGATTCTCTCTCTCTCTCTCTCAGATGTCAGATCGCGGCGACGCGGCAAGTTGACATAGAAGTTCGAACCCAAGCGAGTCCAATGCCGTCTTATCTAGCGTTAAAATATCAAGCGCTCGACTGAACAGATGATCACAGGACGGATTCATCAGCCCCCAATTCAAAACTCCTGCCTCTGATTACTGTAATCTAGGCACTCCTCTTTGGTCAGGAGAGTGTACGGTCGTTGCA